CCTCAGCTGTTGCCTGCAGGAGTACACATATAATTTTTTGTGAAATCCTGACTCCACTGCGATAACTGGTCGTTCTGGTGTTATTTTTGATGGGCTCAGCAGTCAGTCATCTACATTCAGAAATGAAAAAAGAATGAAATTAAAACCCTTGAATTTAAATTTCATTTTTAAAATGTTTGCTCACACTGATTCAGTTTCGAGGGGATCAGTGACTACAATTTTGAAAACATTGCATTTTTGTGTTGGAGTTTTGGAGATATTTTTATCAAATTGGTCTCAAATACATGTATTCATGTGGACCAGTGTTTTTTTTTTTTTTTTAATTGTCAGATAAGAAAAAAGAAGAACTCTCGAGACTCGTGACAACAAGATTCCTTCCTACAGCATTTTCTCAGCAATGGGGGGGGCTGCACGTGGTCCAACCTGCAGGTGCTGTGCTGTCAGCAGAGGCGACCAGAATGGCAATGTCTCCCCCTTCCATAGGCTCATAGCCCTGGCAGTTTAACATCCCTGGATATATCATTACCTGCTGTAAATTGTCATAGTGCCATGTAAGCCATTAACACCGGTGGCGAGGCTCTGCCTCGCCATGCCTTGGTTTACTCTTGTGATGAAATGAGCAGAACCGGCCAAGTGCATTGCGCTGGGTAAACAATGAACAGATGTCAAATGCTCTGGACTTCTCCAGTGGGGAAAAAAAAAAGCCCAACCGCCACCAAAAAAAGAAGCTGTAGGAATGGCTACGAGTGGTGTTATATTCAGAAATCTTCACAGGGCTAGCAGGTGAATTATTAGGAAAGTGAGCTGTGGTAAAGACTGGTTACTCTTAACTCGTCATTAAAATATTTGCTTACAGATCTAAGTTCTTCTGAGCAGTTGTTTTGAAGTCATGGTAATGGGTACATTTGACTCATGTAATGTTTAACTTTCAGTATTCTATTTGCTCAAGGTTTTGAAAGTATTATGAGATCAAATGTGTGTTGTGGGAGAGAAAAAGTCAAACAATATCTGAATTCCAGTCAGGCTCCAGGAAGACACAAGACTCTTGCTTATCTATTAAAAAGTAAACATTTGCAGCTATATTTTGTTCACTACCAGTAGCTGCCAGCTACTTTTATACTGTCTGATCTAAACTGTACTTTTTCCCTTAGGAAGCTATCAAGTCTCTGGAAATTGGTATTAGGCTTAGAAACCTCACCCTGCATAATTAGAGTTATTTCTGCAAAAAGGCTTCTTGAAGCTTAGATTTTTTTTTGTTGTTTTGAAATAGTTCTTTTGGTATTAAGTGGTTGTGTAGATTTTCTTTCTTGGCTGAGCTGCGAAGGGCAGCGCTGTACAAGCTTTAATGAAGAGTGACCATGCAAAGGATAGCAAAAAATGGCAAAGTCAGTCCCCTTTGGTGGCTTCCAAGCTGCTCGGATGCTTTATCGCTTATACTGCAGTAAGCTGAAAAGCAGAAGGAGCAGTGGTATGAGTAGCCTGAGACAAGGAGGGTGGCGAGAGGCAACAAACCCTCTGGGGAGCACAGGCTGACCCCAGCTTGCAGCGAGCTGGGGTGCTGGTGCAGTGGGAAGGGGGGACTGAGTGAGGATGGGGGTTCCTGAAGGCATCCTGGGAGAACGAGGTCCGTCTCGGGGGAAACCATGGGGGACACCACTGAGCATGGTGGTTCCAGGGACCAGGGATTTAAGCCTGGTAACAAAAATACAGCTGAAGGCTTGCAAGTGCTCAGTTTTAGTCATCAGCAATAAAATTGTCATCTATTAAAGGAGCTGTGGTTATGGGAGGGTGGATGTTTAAAAACTCTTCCTATTTCTTAGAAGGACGGGCTTGCTCGGCAGGCAGTGTTCCCCCAGCAGCCACAGCAGAAAGCAATGCCCACATCCGTAGGGTGAGCCCATGGAGGAGCTGGGGTTGTTTTTGTGCTCTCCAAGGGGAACACCTGCAGCACTCTCACCCCACCACAGAGAGGGAGCTCCTTCCAAAATATGAACCAGGGAACCTAATGCGCTGCCCCCCAAATGGGTGGCAGCAGCTTCCAGCAGCTCTTTTTGCCCTGGTGATGTTGCAGTGTGCCCTTTGATGGCTGTAAGATCTGCAAGAGTGTCTTTCCCCTGCACTAAGAATTAATTTGCAGGGCTGCCACTCGTACAAACAATTCATGTGGGTCCTTTCTGCCCGCTTCCCCTTGCTCTTGTTAAATCTAAATTCTGTGAGTGTGCTGTGCCACCCTAACTGAGGACAAGCAGTGTCGTAGCGCTTGACAGGGACTGCTGGAAGGACAAAATTTGTTAACGCTGTCAGAAAGTCTCTGCAGTTTACAGTGGTTAAATGTTTGTTTGGTTACATCATTATTAATTCCTTGTCAAGGATGTCGGAAAAAAAAATTAACACTTTACACAAAAACACTTTTCCATGCAATCTGATACATGCTCTATGTGTGCTTTTGTCCTAAATCCAAAGCAAAAGTCTTTGCTATCCTGATTTACTCCCCACCCCAGTATTTTAAAAAGACTGTTGTACGCAAGCTTAGAAAAACAAGGACAGAGAAAATAACTTTGCTAATTTAATTAAGATATTTTAAGAAGACTTGAACCAAATGAAGTTTCAGTTGAAGTGGAAAAAACCAGATGATTTGGGATAATAGCTGAAGAACAATATAACTGCCCCGATGAATTGTCCAGGGCACATGAAGAGTTTACTGGATACCAGTACTTCTATAACAGAAGCAGGATTTTAGCCCTTGTTCTTGAAGGATTCCTGACCACGAACCAGATGGAGGGAGGCTCACAGGTGAGGAAGAGATCTTTTCTGCCCCACTGTAGACATAAAAACTATGGCACACTGGAAAAAAGGCATTTTCCCCATGTAGACAACTTCAGCCCTGTTTGGTTTGGGGTTTGGTTTTTTTTTTTCCCGTACTTGCTAACCAGAGCCTGAATTCTAAAAGCCAGAGAGGGCCCACGGTGGGCTGCAGGAGCACATGGCTCTGGGGAGGGCATCTGTCCAACCCCCTCTGTGGTGTGGGTACCACGCCTGGGTGGCCATGGGTGGTCCTGCTGCGGCGGGGGTGAGCTGCAAGCACTGCCTTGTCCCCACTGGCTCCCTGGGAAAGGTCTTTTCCTTCCCGAGAAATCATTTTGTTCTGTTTCCTCAGGTGTGCTGTGTTTACCTGGACATGCTGGAGGACCTGCATCCCATCCCCACCAGTGTTTCTCACTCCAGAAATTATGTCGACAGGGCAGAGAGCTGAGCCTGTGGGGAAGGGAAACCTGGCTGAGCACCAACTGCAGGAATGACACCAGGGATATGAGCTGGACCAGGGAATGCTGTGACCTGCTCCCACTCTGCTGTGGTAGGACCTTGGCTAAGCCCTTCCACCTCTCCATGTCCCCTCTTCCTCAGGTCTGTTTAGACAGTGAATGACTTGGGGTACGGCCTGTCTTTTCTTTACAACGTGTGTATGTACAGTGACTAACATAATCGGCTTGTGATTGCATCTGGGACTGCTGCTCCAGTTCAAGTAGCACCCAAGAGACATGTTTAAGCTCCAAGTAATTAATCTCTAAGTGGTATCTGCTGGTAGATGTTATGCAGAAATCACAATTTCTGTTCTGAGTTAGTGCTTCCACGTGAAACCAAACACTTAAGCATCTTTGAGAAGTTTGGTCTCAAGTGCAAAGGGTGTGTGGAGAGGGGTTTGTGCTTTGAACACGTTGCTATGAACCTGCTGTGCTCCAGCCTGCAGTCCTGCACATGTATGGCACGCTTCCCTGGCACTTGACAAATTCTTACAGTCTCTTGACAGGGATTTTTTGATAAGACTTTGCATTCCCATAATGCTTGTTCCAATTCCTCTCACCTTTCCAGGGGCCCCAGGCCAGGCAAAAGTATTTAAAACAACCACCAGTGGGTTTTGTTTTTCTCTCTCTGACTATGCCATGGCTGCACCTTGTAGGTGTGCAGAACCTCGGTGGTCCCTCAGGATGCACGTCCCGTGTGCTCCCTCAGCAGGCTCCCCTCGGGGGGGATGTTAGAGGCATTTTCTCCACATCGCGGGTGGCAAACTGCAGGCCCTTCTGTGAACAGTGGCACGGTTCCCATTCAGCCGAAATGGAAAAGGACTCAGTCCTCCAGTCTCTGCGCTTGGTTTATCTCCAGTTTAGCAGTGAACGACACCACCAAGTCTGTGCTGGAAGCTCTGAGGCGTTGGTTTCACACCAGGCCACCCAGAAGCCAGGCAGCAAGAATAGAAATGCTGCTGTCATGACGCTTTCCTCCTGCTTTGTGCTGCTGTAACACGGTGCCTCCCAGAAACTCTCCTAACCTCCCCACGGGAAGGGAAATATTACCCTAATTTTGACATGGGAAACGGGGGGATAGGAAAGGGAGTGGAGCTAATACCGAAGGGCAGCAGCAGATGCGTTCATCACCAGAGATACACAGATGTCAGACTTTCTCCCTGCCAGAGAATTCTCTTGGAAGACCGAGTTTTTGCCTGTCCTAATAGAGAATAAATGTCATTGTCTCCATCTTTCAGTTTAAAGTAGAAACTGGGGGGGAGGGATGGGTATCCTGCTGCCAACATATCTAGCTGCTGAAGCAAAGATTCTTCCAAAAATCTCTTCAGTTTGCTGTGGAGTGACAGAGAAGTCTGTATGAGGCAGCAGGTCGTCCCAGACGCATTACTCCCTGCAGACTAATCGCGTGAGAGTGTTCTGGTAGGACAGACACACTGAGAGCTGTGGATTAACCACGCATCAGGTACCTGACCTGACTTGCCGTTATCCCAACACACTGTGATGTTTAGCTTGCCAGCCCAGCATGCAAAATGGGACTGCTGACATCAGGGTACGGTACGGAGGGGGACGGTCCATCCGGGAGGGCAAGAGGGACGTCTGGCATTTTTATGGGCTGACATCACATCTGGAAAGCTGCTGCCCTCTGGTGAGTCAGCAAACAACAGACCATCATACGAGCCCCATCATCCAATCGCTTGGATGGAGCAAGAAGGATCCGGGGAACTACAGGCTGCCAGCCTGACCTCGGTGCCGGGGAAGGTGATGGAGCAGGTCAGGTTGAGTGACATCGCGCAGCACGTACGGGACAACCAGGTGTTCAGGCCCAGTCATCGGGGGTTGTGAAAGGCAGGTCCTGCCGGGCTGACCCCATCTCCTTCCGTGGCCACCTGGACGGCAGGGCAGCCTTGGACACCGTTTCCCACAGCATCTCCTGGAGAAACTGGCTGCTCGTGGCCGGGATGGGTGCGCTCTGCTGGGGAAGAACTGGCTGGATGCCGGGCCCAGAGCTGTGGGGAATGGAGTTAAACATGCCATGTGCGAACGGCCTCGTGGTATTTTATTGATGGCCGGAGTTAAACCACGACAGCTGCACAACACAGGATATCCAAGGCCCTCTAGCCCTTGTGAAGCTGCTTCTCCCACCTCCAGGGCTTGGTTTGCTGCTCATTTCTTCCCAGAGGATTCCATTTCTGCATGAGCCGCCGGTTCCCAGCTTCAGGCTGTGGCTGTTGCCTCTTTGCCTGCAATTTCCATGGTCTCTGCAGCCGTTTTTCCAAACCAGGAGCCTCCCAGAGCAGCGGTGCTACTTCTGCTGTAGGGAGTTCCACATGACTTTGTCTTCACCAGGACTCGATGGCGTTACGACCAAAGGGGACACAAGGGGGTGGAGAGGGGGAGGAATAGGCTGCATAATGCTGCCCACCACTCTAGCCTTGCGCTCTTCACCTGAGAAATGTGCCATGTTCTTTCTTCAGCATCCGCTGCTAGAACACGGCATGTTTTGTTTGCCTGTAGCCCACGGGGTCCCAGATGTTACGTGCCCCAGTCAAGCTTGGACAGACATTGAGGCTTCGCTTAATTTCCTAATGAACTTCATTTTTATTTATTTATTAAAGATACACGAACTGCAGATGAAGGAGAAGGTATTACGAGATTCCAGGAAGAAGGAAACAAGACCGAAGGCAGTGGAAGGGAAAAAAAATCTTCTGTGTGGAAAATGCAAAGCCTATGCCTGCAGTACAGATGACATCAGACTCATCAAGGTATGCCTCTGCACGGGAACCCGCATCCGCGAGCAGCCGGGAAGCCCGCGTTACTGAACGAACAGCACTGTTCATGGGGGAGGAAGGTAGGCTGTTCCGTGCAAAGTGGAGCAGAAAAAAAATGGGAGTAAACCAGTAAATGACAGGACGGGTCACAACCGCTTCTGTCGCAGGTTACGGTGGCGGCTGACGGTGTCCAAGGCGTGCAAACACGTGACACGTGACACAACCAGCACCTGTTCTGTTGTCCTGAACCCCCTTCCGTTAGAAACCGATGAGTTTTGTGGAAAACCACGTGATCTCAGTGACATCCCTACTAGTGTAACGGCTGGACGATGACTGATTAGTGTAAGACTGTAAATCCTCCTGCAGCTGAGAGGTTTGTGTTGACTGCGAGTTGCCCGTACAGCGTGCTGGGATCAGCACTGACGGGCCAGTGTTCTGTTCCGGAAGGCAAGGCGAACCATGGTGTTACGAGAAGAGCCACTTAATTCTTCCATATTGCTTTGCTTCCCGTTCTTTAGGTAGTTCACGTTGCCTCTGCGTACCTCGTGGGGACGTTTCTATTGTCCTCTCTCTGAACCCAAAGAATTTCTCTGTAGGCCCAAGAAGCCAATACTCTACACGTGGAAAGCAGTGATCATGAGAGACATCCTTTTCTGCGTGCTTTGAGCCTTTATAGTTCTGAAATTTGTTCTTTTGAAGGTGATTCTATTTATGCTGCTCTGAAAAGCACAATTGTGACGTGGTAAGGGGCTCCAGGGCACAGCTGAGCCCCCCCCCCCAGTGGCAGGGGGCTGGAACTATATGATCTTAGAATAGATAGAATTCTAAATAGAATTTCTATAGAATAGAATTCTATAGAATTAGAATTTCTATTAGAATATTTAGAATTCTATAGAATTCTAAATCTATAGAATCAGAGATAGAATTCTATGATTCTATCTCTAAGGTCCCTTCCAACCCAAAGCATTCCGTGATTCTGTGCTACAATCAACAACTGTAACCCCTTTACCATGTTAGGGTTACCCCAAAGTGATTGCATTGCCCCTCAGGGAGAGCTGGGGTCCTACAGCTAACATGAGTGGGGAGCAGGAGTCTCTCCAAGGGTCTGTTGTCCGGATGACCATCACACACAAGGCTCAAATACTGCAAGTGCAGTTTTTGGAGAAGCTAAGGAATTTCAAACACGTATGAGCTGGTGACTGGTGATATATAGTAACTTCGGCCTTGATAAAGCCAGGTCTGGGTCTTTCTAGTATCTGGTATTTAATGAAAATTAAAAAAAAGAGCAATGAGCCAAGAGGGATGGAAGGTGAGCCTCCTAAATGACGGGAAGCACCACACCAGGGACGTGAAATCTGTGAATGGAAAGGGAATGCCAGGCAATAAATGAGGAATGGTGTTTCTACTATTAAGTGCTTCTGGCATGTGTTGTTTCAGGAATCTCATCACACTGTCCTAGGAGATGCCTTCAAGGAGCGTTACATAACAAAACCTCACCGGAAACCAATCTGCTTCGACTGTTTTGAGAAAAAAAGCAAGATGCATTGTCAAAATGCTAACTGCCAGCATGACTGGGGAATCATAGTGAAGTACAAGACATTTGATAATCTACCAGTGATCAAAATCAAAAGCTTTGTAGTAGAGAACGTTGAAACTGGGACACAAATGGATTTTCAGAAATGGAAAAATATTAATTTTTCTTTAAAGAATTTTGATGTTGAAGAAACGTCCAACTGAACTCATCATTTTAGTGCTTGCACTATGCTACTGCACTGAGCTGAAATGGGGATGATCAATTTTCATGTATAAAAAATATTCCCATGTATATATATATTCCCAAGTATTTCCATGTATAGAAATGTTCTTTATGCTGTCTGACGTAGTAAACCCCTCGTCAACATGCGCCTACGCATCTAGATCTTAATCTCTGCTGCGATGAAGAAGCTGGTCTGAGAAAAGCAACATCAAGTTGAATGACGAACTGACATCTGACTTTAGGTGAGGGGCCACGACTTCAAGCATGTCTGTGTGAATCAGAATCGTCTTTGCCACCACTGACCTCTGGATGGAGTGTACTTCCATGCGGACAACACAGCTTATGCATACAGACACTTTTAAAGTAGGGCTTAAATACAGTTTTAAAAATAACTTTTAATGCTCTGGGCATTTTGGCATGTATTTAAGTAGAGAAAGTGTCCAGTAACTTTTCTGTAAGGGAGAAATGGCAGCCCTGTTTTCTTCTGTCACTGCACACTCATCACGCTGGTGTTGCTGCAGTTGCAGAATGGACACCTTTCTGTGTGCTGCTTAACTCAACGAGCCCCAGAAGGGGACAAGGCTCGCCCTGTAAGTTGGGTGAAGGCTTAATTTGGATGGTGATTAACATTTACCCTGCTGTCCTGTCTCATAAGCGGCACTGCTGCTAAGAGCCTGGCTCCATCTTCTTTGTACACCTGCTCCATTCAGGTATTTGTACACAAGCAGCAGGGATGTCCCTGAACCTTCTCTACACCAGGCTAAACCGCCCCAGCTGTCAGTGTCTCTGCACGAGAGATGCTCCAGACCCTGCAACATCGCCGTGGGCCTCCGTGGATTCGCCAGAGGAGCTTGGTGCCCTCTGCTGTACTCAAGCACGACGAGCCAGATGCAGATACAGTGCAACCTCTACCCCTCCTTACGCCTCTTGTCTTCTTTCAGAACAATTTCCATTGTTTTTTTTTTTCCCAGATAACAGCTGGAGTCAACTGCACTAAAAATAAATGAGATTACTTTGAGAGGATTTCTCCACTATGTTAACTGCTGGGGCAGTTGCCCAAAATACAGTTAAGAGTAAGAATTAGTACTGCAACCTTGTTTATCTCGGAGGAGGAGGATAGTTGTTATCACTGTAACCAGATTCACGTGGTATCGTGGATCGGGCAGTCGCTGACTTCAGTGAATGCGTTAGTGTAATCGCTGGTTGCTAAGCACCCTAAAAACTGCTGACAAGGCTCCTGACATTGTGGTAGACTGACTCGTGGAGGACACAAGACAGAGGGAGTACATGACAGCAGCATTCTGCTGGGTTACAGAAGACTGCCGGTATCTGGCAGTTTTGTATTCATCCTGTCTCAGGCAGATTATTCAAAGAAACAACACAGACAAGGGCTGGAGCCCCTCTGCCATGGGGAAGGAATCCTTCCCGCAGAGGGTGGGAGGCCTGGGACAGGTTGTCCAGAGAAGCTGTGGATGCCCCATCCCTGGGAGTGTCCAAGGCCAGGCTGGATGAGGCTTGGAGCAACCTGGTCTAGTGGAAGGTGTCCCTGCCCGTGGTAGGGGGTGGCGCTGGGTGGGCTTTGAGGTCCCTCCAATCCAAACCGTTCTGTGATTAAAATATGAGAAGCCAAGACTTGTATGACTCTGCTCCTACAGGGACAGGGAGAAGAGTTTAAAGTGAAAGGTTTGTTCTGCCTCTCAGTACTGAGGATAACATGACAAAAACCACCAAACTTCTTCAAAATAAATTTAATTTTATCCATTAGAAATAGTATCCCCAATAGGTTCACCTTTCCACAAAGGCTTAGATTTTAAACAAAAAAGTTCACATTTTTCAATATTAATAGAGTGCTAAATAATAAATTTCAGTATTAGATTCAGATGCTGGTCAACTGAATAGGAAATCAAGTCATTATCAGGTAATTAGGAAGGAATAACAATTGTTTCTTACACTGTCAGTTAATTTTTGGACCACTGATAAGAGCATAGAATGTAACTTCAGAGTCAAACTAAATGGGCCAATACATGAAATCAACGCGTTATCTTCCGCAGATCCAGAGATTCCAGCAGTACTTTAATGACTTTTGCACTGTATTCTAAGGTACGTCAAGCCAACCACCACAGGCAACAAGTAATAAATGCTGTTTACTTTAATTGGGCAGGTGTGCCCAGCGTCCTGGTACACAGGATCATTCAGGGCTGTGAACAAGCCTGCTGACACAATCCGTGGCAACACCGTTCGCACTCACAAACTCACGATTACCATAGTTTTGCTGCGCTCACCAGGAGGAGGCTTGTACCTGGACGTTTTTGCTGGGTGTTTTTGATTAGGATGCCATTTTACGGATCATGTAGTTCAGAATGCCACCGTTGTGGAAGTACGTGAGCTCCACGTCAGTGTCGAATCTCATGATTGCATGGAAGGTTTTCCCGGTATCCAGCTGTTGGGGTCAAAGTCAAAGTCAGTCAAGCAGCAGAACCTTCCACGTGTCACACGACATCACAGTAAAATAAGGATTATTACGACAGTCTTGGCATCTTAGGAAATGGACAGAAAGCTGAAGTGAACAGGCAATGGACATCGGGGTTTCTTTCCACACTACAGCCGGGTGCTTAAGAGGGAAGTGACTTAAACCGTAACAGACACAGGATGGAGTCTCCTGGCATGGCATCTGCACCCTCATTTAGATTTACTGCGGCCTCATTCGGATGTAGGGGCATGGAAGCTGGCCATCCTTCTGTGGGGTCACCCTTCTGGCTTAGGTACAACACCAGTTCTGATTCCACTGGCTTTCTTTGAGGCCCGCTGTTTGGGAATCAGGAAAGCTCAGAGACAGAAGCGCAACGGGAATACAACCACTGTGCTTTACTGAAGGCTCCCCTAGCCGGGTACTTCCAGATCCCTGCACAGTGTTCCTCTGAGACTGGAAAGCCCCCTGGGATCTATACCGTCCCCATTTCAGGGCTGTTACTGAGGTACACGTGAACAGCGGTTGTTAGGAAACCCAGGGAGACCACCTGGGTCAAATGAACACGCCACAGGTAGATTGCTGTGGTAACTGCAGTAAAAAGCAGACTCTGATGTTATCAAGTCGGTCAGTTTTGAAGGCATTCCAATCAAGAATAAACCAAGTTTTTATCACAGATGCCAGGATAAAAAAAAAAAAAAAAAAGGGGCATAGCTTTGGAGGCAAAGTGAGGCAAAAATCCACGTCTGAAACAGAGGGGCTGAAGTTTCACTAGAGGTCATGCTTAGACTCCTCTCCGAACGCTGCAGTGTCCAGTATTCTGCCAGTTGAAACTGCCAAAGAATTACTTTAATATTGAATTCCTTTAAATGAGTTAGTTCCGTTTATTTAATGCTTAACACTTTCTGTTGAGCTTCCAGCATTTACCAGAGACAGAGAAACGTACAGCAGACTCAGAAAGACCAGTCTGCAGTACAGGACTCCTTTTGCTAAGTACAACAGTTGGGCATTCTGCTTTCACATCCCACTGGAACAAATCCCCATCACCACGGCCGTTTTCATGCCCTGCGCCATCTCAATTCCTCTCCCTTCCTCAAGGGAGAGAGGCTTACTGCCACATGAACGCACATCGTTTGAGCAGGCAGTTAATTCTGAGTGAAATTACAGTGATTCAGAAAATTCAGCCCTTCGGTGTCTCATACCTTAATCTGGACGTTCGTCTGCGGTTTTAGTTTTTCAGGAATGACAATCGTGTAACGCTCACGTCCAGTGAGTCCCAGAGTCCCTGCGTCCTCTCCAGGCAAATACTGCAGAGGAATCACTCCCATCCCTACGAGGTTGCTTCGATGAATTCTCTCATAGCTTTCAGCAAGCACAGCCTTGACGCCCT